GGTGAGGGGCGTGGTGCACGCGGGACCTGCGGCCGGGAAGCCAGGGGCCGTGGATCTGACTCGAGAGGGGGCTTTGGAAGTGCTGCGAATCCGAAGGGGGCCGAGATGCAGGTCTGAGGGTGGAGGAACTTGGTGGGTGGGAAGGGGATCCCGAGCGGAGGGGGTCCGAGCGGGGAAGGGGCCCCCAGAACCCTGGCTTGAGCTCGTGTGAGTGTCACCGAAGCGGACCTAGACCGGGCAGGGAAGAGCTGGGCCCTTTTAGTTTTTCTTCCTTGAGGAGGGAGAGGAGGCAGACTGGGATGGGTGCGGAGAGGGCGGAGGCTCTGGAGCCCAGGTGTGGACTTGGAACAGGTAAGGCTGGAATGATGGAGCCGAGCCGAGGCACCCAGGCTGGGGGAATCGGAATCCAAGGGAAGAGAGATGTGGGAATCAGTGTTTAATCAGGAATTGATCCTGAGATTGCGAAGGATGACAGGTGGTCCGGATGGCCTCCACGGTTAAAAACGCGCTGGCTGCACCGAGAAGAGTCTCCTCTGTTCCCTTTTCTCTCATGCAGGGGTACCTTTACCATTAGCAGTCCAGTCACGTTGACTTCCTCTCTGAGGAAGATAGACGTCTGGTCAAAGAAAGCTTGGGAAGAGGAAGAGGCAGATCAGGGGCGCTGAAAGGCTCAGTGCCACCAAACTTGAGAGTTCTCAAAGCTGATCTTCCTGTCTTTCTCTCTTGAGACACCTGAAACACTTTGAAATTCACTGGCCAGCATTCAAGATTAAACTTAGTCAAATCGGTTATACTCAAATGAAAATATACACATCCATTTCGCTTGATACTTCGGAGGAGGACCCAAGTGGTACATGTATAACTTATCTGTTATTACCCCTACAGTGAATTTTGTTTAGAGAGCTCTTTCAAAGAACGCTCCGAGGGCGATCATGTAATGGTGTACCACGTTGTGGCTAGAAAAGCTAGTCATTTACTAATGGTGTGACTTTGGCCATGTCAGTTCATCTTTCTGAACTACTTATCTATTCAGTTTCATCGGTTAAGTTGGAGGAATAGTACCACAAAATTAAAATGGGTGTTAAAATAGAGGCACTATGTAAAGAAGTGTTATTTGTTGATCTTAATATTGGTATTTAACACTAGTTATTGTCTACAAATTGCACATTGTACTTAAAATTCACTGCTTAGATTGAGAGGGAGGAAAAAGAGCTGTGCGCCTGAGAGGGGAAGGCTTTTGTCTGAGAGGGGCAAAGGTGTGAGTCCAAGAATTAAGGACATGCCTAGTACCGGTGGCTCATGCCTGTAATCCTAGCTACTCAGGAGGCTGAGATCTGAGGATCGTGGTTCAAAGCCAGCCCAGGTAGGAAAGTCCAGGAGACTCTTATCTCCAATAAACCACTAGGAAACTGAAAGTGGTGCTGTGGCTCAAGTGGTAGAGCGCTCACCTTGAGCTGAAGAGTGCAGGGACAGTGCCCAGGCCCAGAGTTCAAGCCCCTCGACCAACCAAAAAAAAAAAAAGAATGAGGACAGGGGATCAGGTCATTTGAGAGGGGAGGGAAAGAAAAGATGCAGAGAGAAGGGATACTTCTATAAAAAGTTTAAAAACATAATAACAAGACACCACAGAGTTTTCAGTGACTTAAATGATCTTGGCAAAGAGGAAAATCGAATGGACCTGGTTTATAAACAATATTGTATGTCATCCAAATTAAAATATTGGCATCTTGTCCCTTAAGTATGATTTCATGTAATTAATTCAGACTTAATTTGAATTTTGAATGATGAGCAATACTTTGACTAAGGACAGTTATCTTTTTTGCATCTCATTATAGGGTTTAGCTTCATCTTTGCTCTCTTTTTCTTATTATTTTTTTTCTATTTAAGATTCAACCACTTGGTGGTAGATAAAAAGTATATAGAGTATAAAATGGAAAGTAAGGGTCTAACTGTGGGGTTATTTGTACTAAATTTTTTATTGCATGCCTACAACATACAAAATATAGTACTCATCTCTGGTGATAAAGCATGAGTAATTTACTC